ATATCCATATCCATATCCATATCCATATCCATATCCATATCCATATCCATGGGGGGGGGTTCATCTCTGGTTGCTGATCTGTCCACCCCCTAATTAAAGGGGGTGGAAAATTTTTGCCACCTCCACACCTTCCGCGGTCTTCGCCAACCTCTCCGTGTTGCATTCCTCCAAGCCAAAGGGGGTAAAACAGTTGCGGTTTCCGCATTTCCATCCTTTGCTCTCAAGTCAAATCTCGCCCTTATGAACGAGGAGCGTTAAAACGTATCAAGAGCTCCCGGGGAGGGGGATCCTCGCCTAAGGACCGCAACAGAGCCCCCAAATTCCCATCGCTGAGGGAAACCGCTGGCTCGGCGTTGTGTCCCGTTCTAGGACTTTTCTCGCGCTGCGCCTGTGAAGTGAACCGCTGCAGTTGTGTTCGGTGAGTAACGCGGTTGTTCGACGAATTTCCCGCTTCCCGTCGGCTTCGCCCGTCCCGAGGTCACAAACGGAGATTCCCCGTCATAAATACGAGCCAATTAGTGCCTGGATTTTGAGCCCGTGGCCATGGGGGAAGTTTGTGAGGGTGTGAAAAATGGGTCGTAAGGTCACTCCCCCGCCCCCAGTGCTGTTGTAATTTCCAACGGCCGCTAAATGAACCACTGTAAGTCAAGGACTCCCTGTGGGCTAAGAAAGAGAAGAGTGCGAAGGGATGGTTTTCTACGGTTATCTAAGGTTACGGTTTCAAAAGGGATTTTTTCTTAGCCAGACTTGACTTGCGGGCCGGGGAAGAAATGGAGTGAAAATAATAAATACAAATAAAACACGTTCATGCCCCAGTCAGATTCGAACTGGCCACAGCAGTCATGAATCTTGTCAACGGAGGTCTGGCTGGATTATATCGATCAAGAGAAAATTGCTCTCTGAAGGCAAGGCAGGCTGCCTTTATGAAAATGAATTCCCTTCGCCTTGATTGGAGCGGCTTCTCCGTCTCAGGCAGTCAATAACTCCCTCTCTGCTCCTCGGAGTATTCTTGGAGTAGAGAAAGCAAGCAGATTGGCGCTCAAAACAGGACCTGGCCAACAGCAGTTTGTTCGAGCTTCATCCGACTGGCCTCGCGTTCCTCGAACACCCTGACGTGGGGATCTTGCAGCCCCTTGGCGGGAATGGTGTAGACTCTTCAGCTCGAGGAGGGCGGGGGGGTTGGACTAGAAGACCTTCAAGGTCCCTCCCAAGTCTGTTATTCCGTATTCTGGCATCTCCCGCTCAAGCAGGCGGTTGGAGTAGAAAGAACTTGGAGGAGGAAAAGGACTGCGGGCTTCTTGATGCCCCTAAGCTTGGTGGTTTTCTTGCAGACGTCTGATGACCCAACTAGGTAACATCATCAGAGTCGTTTATACGGGCGAGACGGGCAGCGTATCCAAGTCATAAAGAAATAAAACCTACCATAAAGGACCGGACAACCACGTCGGGCATCTGAGGGAGCTGGTAATGCAAGAGAGCCGTGGTTGCGTGATCCGTCACCTGCAGAGGAGACCGAGAAGAGGAGCCGTGAAACCCCAAACCGTTCCAGCGACTGCTAGAGTACAAGATCGAATGCAGGACGCCCTTGACCTGCAGCTACAACGGGGAGCGGAGTTTCCGTTGCTAAGCCAGGCAGTTGTTAAATTGAGGGAGGGAGGGAGGGAGGGAGGGAGGAAAGAAGGAAGGAAAAGAGATGAGAAGGAGAAGGAAAGAAAGAAGGAAGGAAGAAGGAAGGAAGGAAGGAAGGAAGGAAAGGAGGGAAGAAATGGGAATGAGAAGGAAGGAAAGAAGGAAAGAAAGAAGGGAGGGAGGAAGGAAAGGAGGGAGGAAATGGGAATTAGAAGAAAGGAAGGAAGGAAGGGAGAGAGGGAGGGAGGGAGGGAGGAAAAGAGATGAGAAGGAGAAGGAAAGAAAGAAGGAAGGAAGGAAGAAGGAAGGAAGGAAGAAAAGGAGGGAGGAAATGGGAATGAGGAGGAAGGAAAGAAGGAAAGAAAGAAGGGAGGGAGGAGGGAGGAAATGGGAATGAGAAGAAAGGAAGGAAGGAAGGAAGGAAGGAAGGAAGGAAGGAAGGAAGGAAGGAAGGAAGGAAGGGAGGGAGGGAACAGATGGACAGAGAGGCAGAAGAGGGGGAGTGGTGAAAGGATGGATTTAATGTATTCCACTTGTACATTGCTTGACTTTGAATTGACTCTGCATACCATTCAATAAAACCCAACAGAATAAAAATGCGATACAACAATTAGATGGATGGATAGACAGGCAGGTAGAAACCTAACAGACAGAAGAGAAAAATGCTTAAAACACCTTTTTTGGGAAGTATTTTTTAAATCACACCCCACCCCACCACCCCATTTTATTGTTGTGTAAGCCATCCAGAGTAGCCCCCGCTGGGAGATGGGTGGCGAATAAATTTAACACATAAGTAAATACATAAATTAAAAAAGGGAGTGAGGGAGGAAGGAAGAAAAGAGAGATCAGGATGGATGGAAGGGAGGAAGGGAGAAGGGAACGGACCATCAGGGGTCCAGAATGGCATGGCGTTTCCTGCTTAATCAACGGACTGGACTGGAAGACTCCCAACTGCTATTCTGGACCCATCACCAAGAAGGGCACTACTACTACTGCCACTGCTGCTACAGTAGTAGTCGTAGTCGTAGTAGTCCTTACACTAGTGCCTCTATTTTGCTTGGGAGAGAAAGAGGCACTGCTATTAACAAGCTGAACTGGGGCACGCGGCCCGCTGAGCCAGTTTAATAGCCGGCTAATGAGATTTTGCTGAAAGGGAAAAGGGAAAAAAAGGAACAATCCAAACCCTTATAATCATATTTTCCAAACAGAACAAGGGGCGGAGGAGCAGAGAAAAGAACACCAGTTTTGAACGCCATCAAATAAGATGCGGAAGAAGATGAAAAGTGAGGAGATCAAAATCGCCCCATTGATTTAACAAAGATATTCCACCCCAAAGATAGTCCAGCTTCGTGGTTCTCCCTCCCCAGAACGGCGGTTTCTTTCAAGAAGATGCAGTTTAGGGAGAGAGAGAGAGAGAAAAAAGATCCTCAGTGGAGTTATTTACAAGATCATTACGGGGGGAAACGGAACAAGGAGAGAGAGAGATTCAACCTGGAAATAAGGAGAAACTTTCTGACAGGGAGAACCATCGACCCGCGGAACAGAAGTTGCCCTCGGAAGCTGTGGGAGCTTGAGACCCGGTGTAGGGTCTCCCACGTGGGCAGGGGTTGGACTAGATGACCTACAAGGTCCCTCCCAACTCCGATGATCTGTACCTATATCATTTGCGTGCCGGATCGCAACAGGAAAGGCAACTCCAGATATTTAATTTGTCCATCCGAATTTGGAGGCCGTTTTGACCGGGGGTGGCGGGAGGAGAGATCTCCCCCCTGTAATATCCCTTCCCAACTGCGGCGCCCTTTTAATTGCTTTTTTTTTTTTTACACGCCGCTGCTGTTTGGGGCCAGTTGCAAATTGAAAACAGGAGAGCCAGGAGCCAAGGCAGAGCACAGGATGACTCTGGAAAAAAAACAACAACCCATCCTCCATCTTTGAACATTTTGTCTTTTCTGTGGATTCCTTTGGACTGGGAAACTTAATTAAAAGTTTATGATTAAAAAAAGAAAAAAGAAAAAACCACCAGGAAAAGAAGGCTAAAATTGCATCCTTCCATGCCAAGGGTTGTGCAACTGGCGCAAGGGGTGTGTGTGTGTGTCAATTTAGCCGGCTCGTCCTTGGGAACGCACAATTGCTCGTCCTTCAGGGTGGGGTGAGGTGGTGGAGCGATGGTCAAAATTCAATAGATGATTATGCAGGACTCCGTTCCACGTTTTTCCTCGGGAGATTAATGACAGAAATGCATCTCCATACATTGCAACGGCCGGGGGTGCCCTTGTGGCACTGGGGAAGGGTGAAAAGGAGAGGGGAGGGCTTGGGAGGGGAAGAATTTTTGTTTTCTTCTTGCACCCAACTTAAATCGTGTGAAGTGATAACGCTGCTTTAACAATGCCTTGGTAAGACCACCCTGGGAATACGGCATCCAGTTTTGGGGGGCTGCGGTGTAAAAAAAAAATGCTTATGGAGACTCTAGAACAGGGATCGGCAACCTGCAGCTCTGGAGCCGCGTGTGGCTCTTTCCATCCCTCTTTCTGCGGCTCCGTCGCCGGTCGGCTCCACTATTGACAGGGCTTTTGGTTAGGACAGGCAGAAGAAAAGGACAGTCTGGGGAGTGTCGTCAACCTCGCCTAACCCTGACCCACCTATCCCCCATCCATCCATCCATTTACTCATCCCTCCACTCATCCCTCCATCCACTCATCCACCCATCAATTCCTCCTCCATCCGCCCATCCATCTATTTTGCCCCACCTTGAAACCTTTCTTGCCACTGTTATTAAGCGAGTCCCTGCAGTTCCTAAATTAGGAGCCCGGTCGTTAAGCAAACCGGGCTTCTCCCTTGACTCTTCCTTGTCAAGAGATCGGCAAAATGGGACGGGACCCCGGGAACTCTGCAACCGTCATAAATAGGGGCCCCTCCCCGCGCATCCCAATTTGGATCACGTGACCGTGGGGAACGTTGCAGCGGTTGTAAGTGTGAAAGACGAAGCCCCAGGTCCTCCTTTTTTCTCAGTGCCACCGCAACTTCAAACTGGCCCCTAAACGAACGGCTGCGATTCGAGGGCTCCCCGCATGTTCTGTTTTTCCCCTGTCTTTTTCCTGGCCCTTTGCTGTGAAATGCCACGGGGCTATTTAAGCCACCACACCAAAGAATAACAATAGCAGCAGCAGCGACAGCAACAGCAGCACCCCTCCCGGGCCACAGGAGGAGACCACAACCGATCAATAGTTTCCTCTTCCTTTTGTAAAGGACGGAGTTTTTTCGGAACGGAGCGGTGGGAGAGAAGGGCTCAGCCTACCCCCAGGCTGCCTTTCTTTTCTTTCGAGGCGTATCTTTATTTTCCCGGTTTATTTCAGCGGCCCGGAAGGCTCAGGCGAAGGTGAGAGATCACCGCTGCTTCTCCTTCCTCCCCGCCAGGTTGAAAATGTCAAAGAGAGGCCGAGATACCCCCGGCTTCTCCTGGGCCTTTTGTGATGGCTGCCTTTACAGCACGTCCAGCTTGTGTGGCGCCGGTCTACTCTTTCCGATTCTCCCTGCTGGCTCGGCAAGACGCACCAAAGCCCCGGCGTCCCCCCCCCCCAGGAAAAACCTCGGGGGGGGGGTGAAGGACCTCGGGCGAAAACCTGAACCTTTTAGCTATAATGGGTCTTTTTTGGGGGGATATAAGCAATTTGGTATGAATTAGTCCCCACCCAACAGCATCCCCCAAATTGGGGTGCACAATACCCAAGTCCATTTGAAGGTTTCGGGGCGAAGACGAAGGGAATCGGGGCATCTGCAGTCGTGGCCTGTTCATCTTAACTCTCTTCCCATCCAAAGGGGAGACAAACATCCCTATTTCTCCTGTTTTGAAATCTTTTTTTTGTTTTTTTAAATGTTAAATCAAGTGAAGTTTTAAGGGACCACTCAAAATTATTAATATATATCTAAAAAAAGTATTAAAACGACATCATTAATCATGTCTGGAGTGACAGGATTCTGCAGAACGTTCACACCTCCTCCCGATTTATTTGTTGCCGAGTTCTCTTTGCAGCAGGAGGGGAAGTTAGCTTATTGTAGCTTTTATTTTATGTTCTTTCTCTCCAAGCTCAAACCATCCACCTTCCAATGCAAGCGGCTACATGGATACCCAGAAAAAAAAAAGAGAAAATCCAAACCAAATAAACCAGTTATAAAAACTTAATAACGTTGTCTGCCAAGGTAGGCATCGATCTCTTATAATCAAGGCATAGAGGGGGTAACATCTGGCAATATTTCTTACATATGCGGCGCCCACGTCTGCGACAAACCCCCAAGTAGACAAGGGGCTGATTATCCTGGGGAAATGAGGTAAAATAAATGCAATTTATCCATGACAAATGTCTTTGACGACTAAAGCACGGCCACTTGACTCCGTATTACTTTCTCGACAAAAATTGTACACCTTTAGCCGCCGAAGGTACAGCGTGACTCTCTCTGTGTCCTCCAGGCTTTTGTTATAAATTTCAGAGCGCCAGTTTGGCCTAGCTAAGCACCAGGCTGGACACTGGGCGACTGTGAGTCCTAGTCCACCTTAGGGACAAAAGCCAGCTGGGTGACTCTGGGCCAATCACCGGGAGACGGCGAGTTCTAGTCTTGCCTTAGGAAAGCCAACTGGGTAACTCTGCGCCAATCACCAGGAGATGGGGAGTATCTGTAGGAGATGGGGAGTTCTAGTCCTGCCTTGGGTGACTTTGAGCCAGACACCGGAAGTAGGACTCACTAAACCAAGACGTGGATGTGATGAGGACACAATGATGTGGGGGCCGAAGGGAACCACTGGAAACTATTGACTGCAATGTATAGCCCCACTGAAGGCAAATTGTATAGGAGCAGGACTGTGGCCTGGAGGTGAAGCTCTTGCCTCACAATCAGGAGGCTGTGAGTTCGATCCCAGCTAGAGGCAGATCTTTCTCTCTCTGGGCACGATGAGAATATTTCTGCCAAACAAAACTCCGTACTGGCAACCGGAAAGGGCATCCGGCCAGTAAAACACTCTTCTGGCTCCGTTCAGTTGCCCCGGCTCTACCCTCCAAGGGATTATGGGGTCGTTAAAAGCATATGAGGATTGAAGGCAATTTGTATATGATTCATTTAATATCCAGGTCGTCCTCAACGCGCAGCCGCACAGCTGAGCCCAACGTTTCTGTCCCTTAAGCAGGACGATTCTTCCTTTTGACCCGTTATACCACCTTCCTTGCCTCGGTGTGTGTGTGTGTGTGTGTGTGTGTGTGTGTGTGTAAGTGAACCTGGCTTCTCCCTTGTCTGAAGGTCGTCACAGGGGATCACGTGACCATCATAAATATGAGCCAATGACCAAGTGAGTTTTGATCACATGACCACAAGGATGTTGTAATGGTCGTAAATGTGGGGGGGGGGGGAAAACCCCGGTCACAGGCCTCTTTTTTTCGGCCCCGTTTTGTAACTTCCCACTCAACAAGTGGTTATAAGTCAAGGACTGCATGGTCTAGGTTCAAAAAAGAGAGAGAGAGAGAGGTCCAAACAGGAGAAAAGTTTTTAACCGCCCCAACAAAAGCTTTTTCGTTAGCTGTAACAGGTTTAGGGCGTTTATTGATGGAGGATTATCACCGTGGCCTCTGTTCTTGGCTGCTTTGCATTATAAAACCTTCTCTCCCTCGGAAAAGAGGCCCGAATTTCCAGAAGGGAGAGAGGGAAAAAAAAGAAAAGAAAACTCTACCTCTAATCCTTTAATTCTCACCCTCCCTCCAGAGTAAAAGACTAACTCGCGCGCTAGTCAAGGGCTGGGAGGTTTCATCCCCCTCTCCCCAAAGCTTTTCTTTTCAAACTTTCTGCATTTCAGGTTCAGCTCCAAAGCGTTAAGAATCCTGGGGATTTCACTTCATTAGTTTAGCAAAACTCGCCCTCATTCCTGTAAACCGGGAAGGGCCTCCTCAGAAGCCAAGGTGCCAAAACTCCTCTTCAGGAGGAGCCAAGTCTTACCTTCTGGAAGACTTGATAGTTGGACTTCGACCAGATATCAAGCTAGGGAAGAAAGAGAAGAAGAAAAAGAAGAATTGGGTTATTAACGTAGGTCAAGATCCATTCAAGCGTTTTGGTTAGGCTTACTCGGCGTCAAATTATTCTCGATGCGCCCAAGGGGCAACCAAAGTAAACCCGACTTTTTCAACTTTGCAAGAAGGTTTGGGCTGAGGGAGGCTGGCGAGTTGGCTGTTGAAGCATGCTCAGGTTGGAGCTACGGACTGCTCCAAAGGAACCTCATCGACTTTAGGTAGAACCCAACAGGATTGGGTTTCACCTTCCTCGGCACCCACCGGGCCATCAAATGGCCCAATCCACCATCGTTCAATCAACTGGAGACATTCCTCCTCTCCGGGTGCAGGGTGACTTGTCCTTGACTATATAAGAAGAATGTTGTTGAGTTTAATCTTCCGCCTCTTTATTAAATCCCACCTCCCAAATTCCCAGGCACTAAAATTGAAGCTTCTAAGTGAAATATGGCTCCCAGGGCTGACGGCTCCAACACTGGAAGATTGTCAAGAAGAGATTGGACAACCATCCGTCTCAAACGATTTCCTGCTTGAGGACTAGAAGACTTCCAGCTGTTGTTATTCTTGCTTGCCTTCTTTATAGCAGGACAGCTAACGGACCAACTCTCCTTGGTCTTCAGAACTTCCAAAGTTTCTCCTGGAGGGGCGTATTCCTGGGTCCAGGGCGAACTCCCTCAGGCGGGGGGGGGGGGGCTGTTTTGATGTTCCTCACTTGCAAGATTGCTTCAAGTCAGTTGGAACTGGATTATGCTGATCCATATGAATATTTAACAGCCCCAGAACAGTGTTTTATAACAAGGGCATCTTTCAATGCTTTGATGCATCCTTGTGTCCACAACATAAGTAATTCAGTGACAAGTGACACAGAAAACATTTAGCTGAATTAAGGCAGAATTCTGCCCTGCGGAGAGTAAATAAAATGCCCGCCCCCCCCTCTCCCTCTGCTAAATATTACATTTAGATCTGGAGATGGGAGGTGAGGAGGGAATGTTACACCCAAGTTGAAAATCAGGGAGCACAAGTTATCCATTCTGAAAGTTGGGATGGCTTCAGATGATAAGCAGAAACCTTGACCTTGATATATGTACGGGATTATGGAGAGGGCTACATTAGACAATTAAATCAGACATAGCTAAGTCATCGCGCTCATGTTTTACTGCCTCTCTTTAGCTTCGAGATCTTCTCCTTGGTCGGAAAAGTTGGGAGTGAATCAACAATGGCTTCCGTTCATCCCCCCCCCAAAAAAAATATTGGGTCATATTGGTGGCCAGCAAAGTCCTCGGAGGGTTGCAAAACTCACTTAACCAGTGTTTTCACTTAGCCGCATCAATCTGGGACTCCATCAGTGGTCGTAATTCGAGGACGGCCCGTATGGGGCTCACTGTTTTCTCGCGCGTAACTGGGTGATCGAAGGGAGGGCTCATTCGGAGGAGCGCACACCCGTAAGGGCCCATGAGTCGGTGTCCTGCCTTCTTCCAACCTTCGCTGGTCATCTCCCGAGCGATGGGTTAGTTAGCCCCCCACCCACCCCACAAACCCTGTTCCAGCTACACCTGCCAATCCTGGTTAGTGGACCTCGCCACGGATGCATATCCTGGGTTCCCCCCTCCCTTGCCCCCCCCCCCGTTTCTGGGTCTTCAATTTTGAAAAGAATTGAACTGTACCGAGAAACGAGAACGCGCCATCAAATCTGGTGCGCCACCATCGCTCAACATCCAGACGGACAAGGCCCCACATCACTCAATCTGGGCAGCCTTTTAAGGCTCCCCGAGGTTTAATTTAAAAAAAAAAAGAAAGAAAGAAAGAAAAAAAAGGCAAAGCATATGCAGGGCTTGTAAAACCGCCACCCTAACACACACACACACGCACACGCACACGCACACACACCCCGGTCGAAATGAAGTGAGCAAGCTACACGATGCAGGGTTGCAGGTCTATTATTCTTCAACTTTTCACTTTCAATCAAGACACACATTTGTTAACGTGGGAGGGGGGAGAAAGCTGCTGAAAAGCACAATTTTCAAGTTGTCTTCCCGCATGCGAATTAAACCCCCCCCTCCCTTTCCTTCTTTTTCTCCTTTCTCTCTCCCTCTCTCTTTTTCTCTCTCTTCCCCTCTCCCTCTTCCCCCTTTTTCTCTCTCTCTTCCCCTCTCCCCTTCTCTTTCTCTTTGTCTTTTTATTTCTCTCCCTTTCTTTTTCTCTTCCTCTTTCCCTCTCTTTCTCCCTCTCTGTCTCTTCCCCCTTTTTTCTCTCCCTCCCTCTCCCTTTCCCTCTTTTTCTCTTTTCTCTCTCGTTCTCTTCCACTCTCCTTTCTCCCTCTCCCCCCTCTTTTTTCTCTCTCTCTCCCTCCCTCTCCTTTTCTTTTCTCTCTCTCCTCCTTTCACTTTCTCTCTTCCCTTCTTTTTCTTTCTTTTCTCCTCTCCCTTTCTCTCCCTCTCTTTTTCTCTCCCTCTTTCTCTCTCTCCCTCTGTTTCTTTCTCCCCCTCCCTCCCCCCTCTTTTTTCTCTCTCTCCCTCCCTCCCTCTTTCCCCCTCTCTCCCTCTTCCACGCACCCCACTCTCCCCGACACCCATCCCTGGCGCAGGCAACCAGGGGCTGCTCGCTGAAGGTCGTCCGAACGATTTCAAAGGCGATCACCCATCAAAATGTTCCCTGCATCTAATATCAAACAGAGACGGTGCCAACACTTATTAGAGGAATCCGATTCGGGCGGCCCCCCCTCCTCCCTCCCCCCCCCCCCTCCCTGCAACCCTTCCCTTCACCCAAACACAACACACAGCTCGGCTTTGAAGTGGGAAAGAATACGAGGATCAGAAATTACTTGGGAGACAGCTCTGCCTACCTTTGAAGCTCTCGCTTTGATACCGCGAAGAGGCCTTCTCCCGACTCCTCCGCACTGGAAGGCACGGAAAGCATCCTCCGCTGATTGAGGCTCGGTAATTAAGGGAGGCAGAGCGTTCACCTAACCCAGGTGGGCTAACCATCCAGATCCGTCAGCCCTACCTGGCGCAAAGCAGGAGATGCGTCGGGCCGGGATTAGGGGCTTGGAATCCCCCCTACCTCTGCGTCCAACAAGTTTAATAAATAAAAGGAATAAAATACACCTCGAGCTTGTCCCCCGATAGACAGGGGTTTAGAACCGGGGGATCCTTGGAGGGGCCGGGAGAAAGCCACAGGGGTGAGGTGGGGTGGAAGGACTGCGTTTCATTGCCAAACTAGGTAACATTAACAGTGTGGTACTGGCTAGTTTGGCAATGCAATGCCTGCAAAGCCACCAACCCCACTCCTCCCTCTCTCTGTCCTCCATTATCAGACCCCACTCGCCTCTAGCACGGATGTTGTTACCTAGCTGGGTCATGAAACGTTTGCAAGAAGACAACAGGGAGCAAGTCACACTCACCAGCCCTCAAAAGTCACTTTTTTCCCCCTCGCTTCTTCATTTGCAATGCAAAAAGCGACACTCACCTTGCCATCTTCCGTGTAGACATTTTCATGGAAACCTTTGACTATCGTCCGGTCAATGAAGAGGCTTCTCATCACGACGATAACTTTTAATACCTTTCCCAAAGTTACCTTCGGGTGGGGAAAGAAGAAGAAAAAGGGAATTGTGACCAATACCAATACAGAGAATGAAGCCGGTTTTCCAAGGCAGGTCGCCGTCGACTTACAAAGGGACCAGAGGGAGGTTCGAGGGAAGCCTCTGCAGCCTCGGGAGGGCGAAATATGGGCCCGTTTTGGCACTTATGGTATTTCCGGAAGGCCTGTTCTTCGGCCTCCCGAGGCCGCAGAGGCTTCTCTCAAGCCTCCGGGAGGGCAAAAACGGCCTCAAATGGGCTGAACATCAGCTGGGAGGTGCACATATGCAGGTAAGATTGTCTGGGGCAAACACGCCCGCGCAAAGGGCTCTGCATGCCACCTGTGGAACGCATGCCATTGTTTCATCATCGTAGGCCTACTTGATCGAAGACGGGTTTGCTTTTTCTGAATTCTGGATTTAAAGAGAACGTCCGCCCCGTACACAAAGACCTGCCAAACAATTAGGCACGGTGGGTGCTTGCTTAAGCTTGTAAACACTGGCTTAAATTCCTCACAACAGGTGCGGCAACACGAAAAGCTTCCAACGTCGCACCAAGGTTGTGTCGACCCCGGGGGGGTGGGGGGGAAAAAACCCAGCAGCTGTCGTGCTGACGGAGGAAGCCAGGAGGGAGGATTTGGGAATCAGAGGCAGTCGAATGCGATGATCGTCACGGCCAGATCCAGGAAGCGGCCCAAAGAACGAAGGTGGTGTGATAGCACAATGTGTGTTATGCATTGCGGGCGGTCCATGATGTACGATCGTACAGGTAGTCCTCGGCTGAGGGCCAAATTGAGCCCCAATATTTCTGTTGCTAAGTGAGGTTGCTATTTGGTGAGTTTGGCCCCCGTTTTACGGCCTTTTTCAGTGTATTGCTGTAGTTGTTGACATGGTCACATGGTTGTTAAAGTGATTCCAGCTTCCTCTGGCAATGGGAGGGGGAGGAGGAGGAGGAGGAGGAGGAAGAGATGGAGGGAAAGGAGGAGAAGATGCCAAGGAGAGAAAGAAGACAATGGAGAGACAGGCAGAAATGCGGGTGAAGAAGAGAAGATGACAGAAAGAAAGGAAAAGGAGGGGACGGAGAAAGAAGTGATGGAGAGAAAGGAGAAAGAAGTGATGGAGAGAAAGGAGAAGGAGATTGAGGTTCTCTCTCTCTCCCTCCTCCTCCTCCTTTATCCATTCCCAAAGTGAAGGCAATTTATTACCCGCATAGGAAGATTTAGCCAACTGATTAGCACGATCTCAAAAACTTTCTTTCCCGCAGGAAAAGGACATCCCGATGTGAAAACCCAGATATTAAAAATGGAAGAGCTGGCATAAATCACAACTGGCAAGTACCTTTTTTTTTTTTTTTTACACCGATATAGGAAAAAAAAAAAAGAGAAAGAGATGTTTTAGCGGCTCTCTTGCCAAGGAGAGGAATGCTGCTTTGAAGGAAATGCGGGAGATGGTGGACGCCGTTTTTGTCCGACTTCCGTGTCTGACGCCATCACCAAAGGCTCCGTCAAAGAACCCGAGTCCTATCGTGATTAAAAAAAAAAAACCAGTCCGCCTCCACTTTCTCCTCCGACAAGAGGAAGGACGCGATCACAGCGGTTTCTGTTTGTCACGTTTATCGTTTACATTCAGGTTCAAAGACTCCGGTTTCGTGAAATTGGGGGGAGGGACCCAGATTGTTGGGTGCACAATGCTTTGTAAACCACTAAAGAGAGGGCTGTAAAGCACCGTAAAGCGGTATATAAGTCTAAGTGCTTTTCCTTTCCTCTTCCCTCCCTTTCCCTCTCCTTCCATGGCGGCGCAGTGGTTAGAATGCAGCATTGCGGGCTGACTCCGCCCACTGCCAGCCGTTCGATCCTGACTCAGCCTTTCATCCTTCCATGGTCGGTAAAACGAGGACCCAGATGGTTGTTGGGGGCCAGAGGCTGACTCTGTAAACTGCTTAGAGGGGGCTGGAAAGCACTGCGAAGCAATAGGTAAATCTAAGGGCTAAGTGCTAGTGCTATTCTATTGACTGGGTCTTGCTTAAACTGTGCAACACAAGACTTTTTATTTAAAAAATAGCTCAAGAGGCCTCCTCATTACATTTCAGTTATTTCTATCAATACGCTGATAGACAAATACTTGGCTTTTTAATATGTCGCCTGTGGGATATGTTCGAAGGCGACCTTGATGTAGAAAAATTTTAATTCAAATCAATACACCTGCTAGCTCGCTAAAAAAAATTCAATTAATGTGAATGGGGGAAGGGCAAACACCCCAGGTTTCTTGGAGCCGAAAATGGAACGGCGGCACGTTAAGCCAGCATGCAAGCTTTCTTTTATGCTACATTTCTAGCTTGTTTTTAAATGTGCTTGCTGGCCAGATCTAAAGCTCTTTAGAGGACGAAAGGCAACCGCTTCGCTATTATCCTTAAATACTCGCTGATAAAAATAAAAACAAAAACAAAAGACAAAAATTGGCATCGTGAAAATTCCCCAAAGGATATGGAATTTGGAAAGAAAAAAGAAAAAAAGATACTTTCTAAGGAAAGTTGCACTGTCATTTGACTTAATGAGATCAGGACTGCCTGGCCTGAATACTGATAAGCACAATGAAATAAAAGATATAAAAACAAGACAGACTGGAGAGGAAAAAAAAATCACCCAACTTTTTTTTAGTTTTATACCCCAACATTTAACATTTTAAAAACCAGGTTCTTGCATTTAGACCCGAACCTTGCCCCAAAATGGAAAGAGGTTCGTGATTTTTGCATCCGGCTGATTTAAGCTGACTCCAAAAAACTCATTACCACCCCCTCCTTTCGAGATGATTAAATCTAAACATTAATTTCCATGCAACAAAGAACTGATTTCCACTGCATTTGACCAGCCACTCCCCAATTTCACCAGGTGGTCTCCAAGTTTTTACATTATCAGCATTTGATTGAATGCGTGCCCTCAAATTGGACTAGAATGATGACCTACAAAGTCCTTCCCAACTCTTGTTTCTCTGTTCAGTTCTTAGCGACTATTAGCAACCACCCAGATTTTCTCGGTGATGATCTGCCCTCAACCCGATTCTTTGGGGTCTTCAAAATGTTCCACCCATCCCCGCTCTTAATTCGATTGTTCAATTATGTGCTATCAAGTCAGGGTTAGCTCTTAGCAACCACATACGTAAATCTGTTCCCAACTTGACACTTCAGGTTCTAATGTTGCATTCTTCACCCCTGTAACTGAGTTCATCCCCCACGCTGTTGGCCACCCGCTTCTTCTCTTCCCTTCTTCCTCTTTTTAAAAATAAAACTTAAACTAGTTTATATTATGAATCGTTGTCTTGATATTTGTTTCGTCACCAGGACTCTCGAGGTTCGTTATTTAACTGTAAGAGACAAATATGTAGTCATAATAGAATTCTTGAACCCTTACTGTTGCGTTCAATTAATGGGAAAACTAATTTAGCATGTCATTTAAATTCTATTTAGCAAACAAGTCTGGAAAATCGCATGCCTTGTTAATTCCACGTGCTGAATAAGGGTCAGTGGTTTTTTCCGATAGCTGAAAGTTGTTGAATTAAAAATATTTGATTAACGGGAGGGCAAATCAATGTAATGCAATTAGTCTGCCTTAAACATTATATTCACAGAAACCTGAAGTGTTACTCAGAAAACATTTTTATTGTAAACAGCTATGAATATTTTAACCAAACGAACATCAGAATGGGAACGGTTTTCCCAGTAATGGAAACCCACCCAAGCTGACAAACTTGCAAATTCTCCGAAAATTTCCCCTCTTCCTGGAAAAGAAAAGAAAAAGTCAAATGTTTAAACCGGCCAGCTTCTTCCTGGATTATGAGGTGAGAAAAACCATCGCTGAAACAAGAGCGTCATATTTCCAAGAGGTCTAAGCTTCTGTCGCCAGGAGAAACGGAAGCTGGCTGGGCTAAAAACTGAATGCCAAATCTGGGGGCAAAGTCATGACTTCATTCCCCAACCGCGAGCAGGATTGGCCCAGGAGAGGAGAAGAGGACCAAAGCTCCGTGAAGAACCCCCAACCTTTAGGGCAAGTGACCCCGGGAATCTGGGAATAATGGAACGCCCCCCTCCTCATCTCCACAGTTAATATTATTGGTCATAACTGACCCTAATCTTCTCTTGCAAAGCTTTTGCCGCACTTCTGAGACTGAGAATGATTGGGATGCTTTTTTGGGGTGGTCATGCTACCCAATATTAACTTGGATTCTGCTTGGATTTTTTTTTGTGTGTGTGCCAACCAAGGTCAACGAAATCCAGTCAAAGAACCAAGACGGCAAACCATCTTTGTGATGCTGTCCGTGGTGCTGAAAAACCCAGCCTGCTAAAACTTTCCTGTCCAGGTGGTCTACGAATTACACCCGCTTCCTTTAGTGCCTCTTTGAAGTTACCGTGGTGCTGAAAAAAGAAGTGAACTTGTGGCCGGTCCTCGCGCTTATGACCACTGCCGCTTCCCCATGGCCCACGCATGATCAAAATTGGCAACCGGCATGTCCTTGTGGCAGTGATGGCATCCTAGAGTCACAGTGGCTGCCATTGGTGGGCTTCCTCGCCCGTTTCCGACCAGCCGGATTTGCTTAAACGACCATGTGGACTCACTGAACAACTTCAGCGATTCGTTTTAACAACCATGGCGCAAAAAAAAAAAATGTTAAATTTTTCGCTCTTACAGCCATTGCAGCATCCCTGGGGGGGGTGTGCATCCCATGATCAAAATTCGTATTTATGACAGGTGCAGTGTCCCCTGTGTGTGTGTGTGTGTGTGTGTGTGTGGGATTCCCCTTTTGTGACCTTCTGACGAGAAGCCAGATTCACTTAAGAAATGTGTTCCCGGCCTAACGATTCATTTAACGGCCGTGGCAAGGAAGGTCATAAGCCGGGGTAAAACTCTCTTAACAGATGTCTTGCTTAGCAACAGGAGTTTTTGGCTCCGTTGTGGTCGTAAGACGAGGAATATCAGCACTGGCTGCCCGGCTCTTGTTGGCTAGAAGTCTCCAAGTCGAAGGTTTAAACTGGCTACCCCCCAAAAGCCAACAGTTTAAATCTTGCAAAAGCATCTGAGCTGCCAACTTCTATTTCCCCGTTTCCCACTTATTTTTGCTATGTCCTTTTAATTGGCTGAAAATCCTATTTGTACAATCAACAGCTGGCACAAAACCAGCCACTTTGTTCCTAGTTATTTTTTCTAATTGTTCTCCCTCCTCTTTCCTCAGCCCCGGCTACCAGCCTTACTTTTCGCTTTATCAAGCCACCCGTCCTCTTCTAATGACGCCCATTTGTAAACAGCACCGATAAGATGCAATTAAGCCGTTAGCGGCTAAACAAACAGACATGCTAATTAAGCCCTTCTACAAGGGTTTTTTTTCTTCTCTTCCCTCCTTTTTTTTGTTTTTTTGGGAGTGGGGGGAAATGGAGAGGCTGGAATTTACCTTTCATTAATTTGCCTTAATTGCCTGCTGGAAAGTCAACATCAATCAAGAGCTCAGAATGATTTCCTTGATATTAAAAAACAGGTGATGAGTTCTCACCCCCTTGGCAATCCGGCTGCAGACACTCCAGGCAGGAAGGCAAGCTGGAAAATTTTATTTTAGTTATTTGTATCCTGCCTTTGTTCTCTTTTTTTTTTTTTAAAAAAAGATCAATAACTCACAGAAACAAACGTATTGTCTCCTACTTACCGCTACAACAACCCTGTGAGGTGGGTTGGACTGAGAGAGAGGGACTGGTCCAACGTCACCCAGCTGTCTTTCGTGGCTAAGGAGGGACTAGAACTCCCAGTTTCCTGCTGACGGGCCAAAAGTCAACCAGTCAGCGTTCATGCTTAAGGCGGGACTAGAACTCACTGTCGCCTGCTTTCTAGCCTGGCGCTTAAGTGCTGGGCCAAATTGGCGCTTTATACCCCCATCAAATAATTTTACAACAACTGTCATAATTCCAGATAGTCCTTGACTTATAGCATTTGTTTAGTGACTGTTTAGTGAAGTTACAACACTGAAAAAAGTGACTTACTACCAAGCCTCACACTTATGACCACTGCAGTGGGTTTAGCCCCTTTTTATGACCTTTCTTGCCACAATTGTTAAGTGAATCACTGCAGTTGTTAGGTTAGTTACACAATTGTTCCTTCCTTCCTTCCTTCCTTCCTTCCTTCCTTCCTTCCTTCCTTCCTTCCTTCCTTCCTCTCTCTCCTTCCTTCCTTCCTTCCTTCCTTCCCCATTGACTCTGCATGTCAGACAGTTGTCAAAGACCATCACGTGACCCTGGACGCTGCATCCGTCATAAATATGAATGAGTCGCCAAGCTTCTGAATTTTGATCACGTAACCACAGGGAAGCTGCCATGGCCGGAAGGGTAAAAAAAAAGTCCTTTTTTTTCCCAGTGTCAGTGTAACTTCGAATGGCTAACTCAACGAATTGTGCTTTGTATCGATTCAGCCATTTACCAGGAAGGGAAAAGGTTAATAGGCAGCTGGAGAAAAGTCAGTTTTCGAGTTTGTGGCAGGTTCCAGAGTGGACTGAACCTCTCTGAGACGTCATATTAGAAGACGGGGCGATTGATGGTCTTTTGGGGGGTGAATCTGGACTCAAAGTCCCATCGGTTCTGCTGATGTCATTTAAGAAACCCCTTCAAAAACTTCACAGCTCGTCATTTTTAACTCTTGTAAAGTGCAAGTCCCAAATCCTTCCGGTACAAGCTTTGGTGTTGGTGGGACAAAATCACACGGCAAATGCTTCTATTTACATAGCCCCAGAGTGAAGGGTCATTGGAAGTCAGGTCGCATTTGGTTTAGCTTAAGAATTTATACGCTACCCTTCGAAAAACAGTATCCTATAAATAAAAAACAAAGCAAAATACATAATTAACTGAGGATGGAATCCAAGGACGAGGGAGGAAGCGGAGAAAGGGCGGGAGAGGAGCCCAGGCAGAATTTGGAGGGGGAAATGCTTTGGGTTTTGATCTATGGCCGTTTCAAACAGACCCCAACATTTCAAGGTGAATTCGGAGGTCGCGCACGTCTTGTAAGGTTTGAGCCCCAGAGTTGAGGGCTTGGAGAGGATCGCTAACCAAAACCATCCAATCTTTATTTTTATTATTTTTTTGTAAGCTGCCTAGAGTCACTGAAAATGGAAGGAAGGAAGGAAGGAAGGAAGGAAGGAAGGAAGGAAGGAAGGAAGGAAGGAAGGAAGGAAGGAAGGAAGGAAGGGTGAGTGAGTGAGTGAGGCAGGGAAAGAGGGAGGGAGAGGAAGAGAGAGGGAGGGAGGGAAGAAAAGAAGGAAGGAAGAAAGAAGGGATGGAGGGAGGGAGAAATAAAGAAAGAAGAAAGGAGGGAGGCAGAAAGGAAGGAGAAGGGAAGGAAGGAGGGAAGGAAGGGGAGAGGAAGAGAGAGGAGGGAGGAAGGGAAGGAAGGAAGAAATAAATAAATAAGGGAGGGGTGGAGAGAGGGAGGGAGGGAGAAAAAGAAAGAAAGAAGGACCAGAGGGAGTTGGAAGTCAACACCTTTTCTTTCTTTTTTTCCTCTTTTCTCCATACTTTTCCCTTCCCTTTTTCCTCCCTTATTTTCTTTTGTATTTTTATATTTTATATTATAAACTAATAAACAAAAACACACAAAAAAGGGGACTCTTTTCCAAGATACCTCTAAATCTGCAAAGAGACATATGGAAACCAGAATCAATAAAGATGACAAAAGTTATGGCAGATCATTCCTTATCTAAAGGTTACTTCACACTAGAATAGATTTCCACGCTATAACTCTTCCCCAAGACACTCTTCTGCCAATCGTTTTCTTGAGGAAAAAAGAAAGAAATCTCTTCTGTTTTCAAAACTGGCCACACAGAGAAATCTGTACATCAATGAGATTTGGGAAATGTGAGAATTAATGCAAGCTTTCAGCTTTTTTTTAACATACATTGAAGAGGGGGAAAAATGGTGTTCAAGGCAGTCTAGAGGTCGCCCGCCAGCCCACTGCAAACATTCCAGGAAACTGCCTTGAGTTGAACATAAATCGGCATTTATAGATGTTTTTATTTTACCAAACATTGTTTATTCCTTTCCAAAATTAATCCTTGACTTACAACAATTGGTTTAATGACCGTTCAGAGCTACAAGGGGGCTGAAAAGAGTGACTTACGGCTATTTTTCACACTTACGACAATTACACCGTTCTTGTCGTCGTGCGATCAAAATTCAGGCGTTTAGCTAGCGACTCGTACTTATGGCAGTTTGCAGTATATCCTGGGATTATGTGATTCCCTTTTGTGACCGTTTGACGAGCAAAGCTCCTGGGAAAGCCAAGCGCACTTTAACAACGGCATTGCTGACTTCACAGCTGCAGGTGTTCACTGAACAACGGCCTCAGGAAAGGTCGTAAAACGGGGTGAAACTCACTTAACTGTCTCGCTTAGCCGCAGAAATGTTGGGCCTCAGTTGTCATCGTAAATCAAGGACTACCTGCATTGTTATTTTTCCATTCTATTGCTGCAAGTCAGCCAGAGTGGCTCCACAGTGAGACGGATGGCAAATAAATTTAACCAATACACAAACAAATAAAATTATTGGTATCTATTAATCAAAAGGAGCAGAAGTTGTGGGAGCTTCATCCCTGGAAGCTTTCAAGAAGAGACCGGACTGCCATCTGTTCAGAAATGGTGTAAGGTCTCCCCTGATTGCGTGGCGGGTTGGACTAGATGACCTACAAGGTCCCTTCCAGCTCTGCCATTCTGTTATTAGTTTAGATAAATACCATATATTATTCTGATGCATTTGCAATGTGCCTCAGTAATATCATTTCTCCGCACTGGATAGGGCACCCCACACATTTTGAAGCCTATTTTCAATAACACCAGCAGGCTGCTAAGGTTTATAAACAATGGCAAAAGCAACAATAGCGATAACAACAACAACAGTGGAGTTTTAACTTACCAGCAGCATGGCGGAAGTCCCGTTGGGCCGAGACAGGTGAATAGACATCTCCGGAAACATTCGGTCAATGCGACTGATCACATCGTCTACGTAGCTACAAAAGCAATGCGGACATTAGTCGCCGCAACGACTCAATGATTTGCAGTACACATAAAGGAAAAAGTTAGACCTAGAATAAAAGGAAGGTGGAACGGAATGTGGGGTGGGATTGGGATCAGATGGGATGGAATAGGGTGGGTGGAGTGGAGAGGAATGGAATAGAATAAGGAGCAGAGTAGAGTTGAGTCGAGTCGAGTAGAGTAGAGTAGAGTAAGGAATAGAATGGAATGGAATGGAATAGAATAGGGAATAGAATAGGTATAGGTATAGGTATAGGAGTAGAGTAGAGTAGAATAGAATTAGAATAGAATAGAATAGAATTAGAGTAGAGTAGAGTAGAGTAGAGTAGAGTAGAGTAGAGTAGAGTAGAGTAGAGTAGAGTAGAGTAGAGTAGAGTAGAATAAGAGAAGGGTCTTCAAACTTGACAGGTTTAAGACTTGTGGACTTCAACTCCCAGAATTCCTGAGCTAGCATGACTGGAGGAGGAATCCTGGGAGTTGAAGTCCACAAGTCTTAAACCTGTCAAGTTTCAAGCCCCCTGGAATAAGGAATAGAATAGGAATAGAATTAGAGTAGAGTAGAGTACAGTAGAATAACGAAGTTGGAAGGAACCTTGGAGGTCTTCTAGTCCAACCCGCTGCTCGGTCACACCCAATTCCTGCAGCCATTCTTCATCTGCTTTAGCCCCCGACCGTCTTCGTTGCTCTCCTCTCCACCCTTGCTAGAGCCTCGAGGCCTTCTTTCTATCAGGGAGCCCACCGCTGGCTGCGGTCTTTCACGGGGGGGGGGTCCTTGGCAAGGAGGGTTCCCCACCCCCACCCCCCGTTCACGGGGGCAAAGCAGAAGACAGCAGCCTCGGCTCCCATAAATCGATTGCAGGCAACCAACCCCCCTTCTCTGTGCTGAGGGTTTTGAGGGCTTTCTTTTTTTTTTGTTTTAACACCGGACAGATGGCTCCGTTCTGGAGCCTGACCCGCTTTAAAAACTGGAGCTCATCCAGCGCTGGCGTTATGCTCAGGCGCCGTGGAAAGCATATTTCTCCCACGCAGTTTGTAAGATACATGCTGTTCATTTTAAAACTCCGCGCATCGAGCTCAGCTGCCCCTTCTCCTCCCCCCCCCAAAACACCCGCCATAATATAAACTCAAATCTTCTTCGGAAAGGTAAAGAAGAAGGAGAAGAGGAGGAGGAGGAGGAGGAAGAGGAAGAAGGGGAAGTGGAAGAAGAAGAAAAAGAAGAGGAGGAAGAAGAAGAGGAGGAGGAAGAAGGGGAAGAGGAAGAGGAAGAAGAAAAAAAGAAGAGGAGGAAGAAGAAGAGGTGGAGGAAGAGGAAGAAGGGGAAGAGGAAGAAGAAGAAAAAAAGAAGA